TTATTTCAAGTTTGTTTGTTTGTGTTTTTTTTTTGTTTTTTTTAAATTTATATTTTCGTGTAAGTATTTGTTTTTCTCTATATAACTTTTTTTTTTCCAACTAAATTGATAATATATATATATATATATATATGTGTGTTAACTATATTTGTTTTAGGAGTTGATTTGAAGTTTCTTTTTTTTTTTTTTTTGGGTGGATGTTTGTGCATTTTTTGAATTGTTGTTATTATTGCTTTTGATATATTTCAATTGATAATATAGTTATGAGTATTTTTTTTTTAATTTGTTTATAGAATAATGCGTCTTATATTGTTTTTTATGATTTAGCCATTTTAAATAAATTAAACAAAAATTTTAAATTTTTTATTTGTAAAAAATTAAAAACATTTAATTGACTTGCCCATCAATAAATACAATTTTAAATAATGAACACTATTCCATAATTTATGGATTTAAAAAAAAAAATTTAACACCCATATATGGAATAAGAAAACCTAAAATCACGCATTTTTTAATTTTTCATTTTTAATTCTTTAAAACTCTAATGGTATCTTTTTATTTCCACAATATTGTCTTTTTATATTTACAAAGATAAAAATTGGGCCGGAGTTGTATAATGGTTAGTGGAGGTGGTGAGCATGGCAACAGGAAGGGTGATGATGAGCTCAGCCATAGCATTGTTTGGATGGATTTTGAAAAGATGAAATATTAAAAGAATAGTAGATAGTTTGGATGATGAATTAATTTAGAAAAGTAATGTGTGGTTGAGATTAAGTGTGAATTTTATAATATAAAAATTGAATATGGACCATATATTATTTTTTATATATAATTTTGGGTATTTTTGTATAACTATCAAAAATTATTGTGATCACATGTTAGTTATCATTTCATATATTATTGTTATATTATTGTCATGAATTTTATTATTAATGTCTATTATCAATGCAGTGATGAGATCTCACGTGATAAATAAAAATATGTTTTGTTGTTATTATTATTATTATTGATAATATATTTCTTCATTTACCTTTTTTCAATGTTCAAAAAATTAATTTATGTTTATTGTTAGTTTTTGTAGATGAGAAATCAAAAATAAATTTTAACCAAATTCAAGTTATAACTACTTTGAGATTGAAAAGGAAATTTCAAAAGAAATTATAATTATATATAATTTTAAAATATTTTTTAAAAAAATACAAGGAAAAATTGGAACTATAAATTAAAATTATCAAACAACCTAATTCTATGAAAAAAATTTAAATGAAAAATTGATCAAATTTGAATATAATTGTTAAATATTTTTAATAAGCCATTAATTTTTTATTCAGGTTCTAGCTTGATCTGGTCTTAAATTGTTTTTTAGATATAAATATTTCTTAATATTGATGCAATTAATATTAGACATATTTTAAGAAGAGTAAATTATATTGATAGTCTCCGCATTTTGTCTTTTGTGTCAATTTGGCCTCTATAATTTCAATTAGTTTGATTTTTACCCCTAATTCTAGATTTTGTATTAATTTGGTCCAATTGATAATGCTAGTTAAGATTTTTGAAAGAAAATAGTTATTGAGTTGATTGAGATTAATTTATCGAATTAAACAAGTTTATAATTTTGTCTATAAAAGTATAACAGATTTTACTCATGTGTGTATTTTCAATAAAATAAAATAAAAAAACACTAGCAATTATAACAATTGGACAAAATTGCAACAAAATTATAAATTTAGAGTCAAAATTAAGCAAATTAAAATTGGGAGGACAAAAATAACACGAATGTTAAAATTTAGGAATTACCAATGTAATTTATCCTTTTAAGAATAAGTACATAATTTCTTAATTAATTTTGAAATTGTTAATAAATATATCAAACAAATATGTACATATTTCCTATTTTTGTTATAATTTTTTAAAATATATATTTACTAATTAAAAATTAAATAAATAGGTAGGTCAACTAACTCATTGATTGGACATGAACCAGATGATTCTCTAAGGACTGGACTTAAATTAAGAATTTTTGGCCAAAAAAAAAAAAAATCGACTTGAACTAAATTTTGTTTGCTACTTTTTAGTGTTTAATCCAATATTACAATCTCAAAATTAGCTCATATTAGTCACGAACTGATAAACTATGATATAATTTAAATATAAAATTTAAATTTATTAGGACTAGAATATGACCTACAATTTAGAGTGGCTTTATCTTAAATAATTTTTTTATACATAAATATATATTACTATTCATTTAATTGTTTTAAACATAAATATATAGTTTTTTTTTAAAAAACTATAGTTCAAACTTTTTAATAAGTATGCATAAAATAAGTCCATATTTCTTATTTTCATTATAAAAAAATATTTACAAATATTTATTTACTAATTTAATAAATAGATATGTCAAATGATTCATATAAGTTAGGAATAGAACAAGACAATTTTTAATGATTATGTGAACGACAAGTTGACATAAATCTAATGTTAAGCCCAAATTTAATATCACAAATGAATCCTAATTCATTTTTACGTAAATCTTATAACATAAGACAAATTATAATTTTTAGACTTCACAAAATATGAAAAAATTATTATATTGACAAATGTAATTTACCACTATCATATGATAAATTAAATTTACGAATTTGGCATCCCCTAAAAAAGCCAAAAAGTCACAATCATATTTAAGTCACATCATCTTATTTAAGTCACATCATCTCTCTACTATATCACTTAAAACCCAACCCATACCCAACCCAAATTTCATAAAAAGTCAAAAAGTACATTTATTTAGAACATCTCAAACAATCCCGAAATGTATTTATATTTTATCATAAATATAATTTTTGTGATATTTTTTAATTTTTACCACTTAAATTATGACATATTTGTTAGTAAGAACTTAGAGCACACAATTAATGACATGAGAATAAAAAAAACTCTCTTATGTGTAGTTGTGATAAAAATAAATAAAATTTAATTAATTCTAAATCATTTTTGCTAAATATTGTTGATAAATTTTTTAGATTATTATTTAATTTTAAAAATTAATTTTTAATTATTTATTTATACCGGTGCATAGCACGGATAATTATGCTAGTACTATTATTAAATGAATGTCTAAATAGATTTAATGAAACTTTTTCTCCTTCATGTCACGTGGCAATTTTATATATGTTAAAATAAAAAAATTATTATACACAGTGTGTAAGTAAGTTTTAAACTCAAGAACTTAGGTTTATTAAAAAGATACTTATCACTTAAACAATATATATATATATATATATATAATGATATTAAAATTTTTATTATTAGTTATCTAAATTGTAAGTTGTAAGGGGTTGTTTGGAGTGTCCTAAATAAGTGTATTTTTTATCTTTTTGAACTAAAAAGATGAAGAAAAAAATATGAATGTTTAGATTAATTTTTTATCTTTTTATAAAAAAATATGTAATAAAAAGTTGTATAAATAAAGTGGGTAGTGTAACATTAACGATTAATTGTACGGCTGCCTCGGCTGCCCAGTCTCTGTATATAAAAAAAAATTATCACATCCTTCAAGGCAAAAAACTTTTGGATAGTGATGTTCGGTCTGTGGGCGCCATCATGGATCTTATTTTAATAATCTGAACCGTTCAATATGTACAATTCGTCGAGTATTATATGTTTGTAAAAAATCATATTGATTGGATATCGATAGCTATATAATCAGATTAGTTTTTTTTTAACAGTTAACTATCACACCATCCGTTTTATTTATACAAAACTGATTTGATCATATAGTTAACGATATCCGATCAATATGATTTTTTATAAGAATATATTAATCGACGAGTTTTACATGTTTAACGGTTCGGATTATCAAAAGGGAATCCTTAGTGGGCCTCCATAGGCCCAACATTTTTGTAACTTTACTTATAATATTTTTTTTTTGCCCCAAACTTCGGGGCAAATGCCTGTCACACACAACCCAAACTCTCTCGTGAGGCATCACAATAAACCGCATAACCCAACCCTCTCTCTGGAATAATCAAAACCGGAGCGGTGGTTAGCCTAACTTTCAACTCCTGGAACGACTTTTCACAAGTCTCACTCCACACAAACTTGACCCCTTTCTGCGTCAATCTAGTCAAAGGCGAAGCTAGCCTGGAGAAATCCTTCACAAACCGACGGTAATACCCAGCTAATCCCAGAAAACTGCGGATCTCAAACACACTCTTAGGCTGTGCCCAATCTTGCACTGCCTCTACCTTGGATGTATCAACAGACACCCCTTCCCCGGATACCACATGGCCTAAGAACTTGACTTCCCCCAGCCAAAACTCACACTTCCCAAACTTGGCATACAACCTATGGGCTCTAAGTAACTCAAGCACCACTCTCAAGTGTTCCTCGTGCTCCTCCTTAGATGACGAATAGATAAGGATATCGTCCACAAAAACAACCACAAAGCGGTCTAAGAACTCCCGGAAAATCCGGTTCATCAACTCCATAAAGACTGCCGGTGCATTGGTAAGGGGATTCACTTGA